CCGATGCGCGCTCCCGAGCCGCGAGTGAGTTCCGGCCATGATGTCCCCCCACCGGAACCCAGCATGATGGCACATGGTATGGAATACCCGGGTCTGTTTGGCCAGGTAGGGTCAGCCCCCCCCCAGCTGTGTCCCTTCCTGGATTCCCTTCCTGGATTCCAGTGAAAATTAACCCTGTCCTGCCCAAACCCAGGACACCAACATTACAGAATTATTTCTTTTTAACCATTTCTAATGCTCCACAAATGACCTCTAACATGACATAGAAAAACAACCTATTTATCCATGCATATGAAGCTACAAAAAGGAGACACCTCTCCACTGAAAAAAAAAAAACACCCTAACTTTGGGGTCTACATGTCACAGACATTTAATGAACATCAATATGAGCTTGTACAGTGAGACCTATGAGTCATTTGGGAAGCATAACATTAAGCTTCCTGATGCAAAGGGCTTATAATTGACAAATACCGTGTTCATGCAGTGACCCCCTTTGTAAGGGACAACGTTCATGCATAGACTCCTGCAGCGACACTGGCCAAAAGATCTAAGGCCCTAATAGCCCCTGACCATGGGTTTATTTTCTTCCTTTTAAAAATAACATCCCTGACTTCTGTCAAGCATGGAAGCTGGAGTTCCTGCAAATCCTTTGCAAGATGTCTCTTCACCGTGATCCAACCATTAAGTCACCACCAGTTCACTGACTGTATTTGAAAACATCACCCTGGTTCTGTAACAGGGTTCCATACCTGATGTGTTAAAAAAAGTTGCCTGGGAGCTGTATATGCTTCAGAATAAATATAAATAACAACATGTACAGAAATATGCTTCAGAAAGACCCCATGCTGTTTCTCCTGTGTTCTAAGAAAAACACATCTTAAGGGCTGCTGAAGTACACAGAACTCTATTTCTCATGTTGGCACTGCCTTTCGCCCTCCAATTAGGAGTGAAAGCTGTTGGGTGAAAGTATAATCACAGTTATATTTAAAATGCTGTGTATCCATCTAAACAATAATCTGATAATTATGACATGTGACATGAAAAAGAATCTCATCTTTGTGTGCAAAAACAGAGCAATGATTTTGGAGATGACTCCTGAAATTTCAGTGTAATGCAAGCCCCACACTTGTCTGATATTTGTGCTAAACGTGGAGGGTGAAGGGGGAAGGCTGGCTAGCATTGTAGAATCAGAAAGTAAAGCTGTGTAGTTGTGAAATGTCCAGTCTGCAACCAAATCCTACATCTGCGGGCAAAATTTCTTCAACTCTGAATTCTAAATATGCACAGTGAACAAGTCAATCACAAATAGAAAATGCAGAGCTGCTTGCTAAAATTCTCCTGTAATTTCAGTTAGTAAATACATTTGGGAAGAAATCTATTCTTTTCCATGAAACAAAGCAAATAAAAGTCACTGAAGAAAGTCATCTGATATTAAATATTTGGCGAGCTGGACTGTTACAGGGATGTGTTAGTATCCGGTTTTCAGAGCACTTACACTTGCTCGAGTCATACAGGGGGAGATACTGCACTCTATTCAAGCAACATTTTACAAAAGATGATAAAGGAATACTTACTCTGGGTGAATCTGAATGCTTGGTTATGACTCTGATTGAGACCTGTTTTAACTGTAGTAACAGAATTCCCCCCAACCTTTGTATTTTTTGGTAGACAAGTACAGAATTGTGAGGAATGGTTCTAGGCATGTGATTGGAGCCATGCAGTTCACATGAAAAACCACAAACATCTCAGCACTGTGCGCTTTGTCTCCTGAGAGCTATTAGCCAGCAATCTAGATGGACAGTCTTTTATGAGAATCCACCTAAAAACAGATGTCTCTAAGTGTACTTTAAAATAGTTTTTTAAATTCTGTTCTTATTTCTCCGAACAGTAAAAAATTTCTTGACTTTGATTCTGTTTCTTCCATGAAAATTTCAGGGAATTTAGGACACCCCAAGAAAATTATTACTTAAAATGCTGTGTAAAGATGACTGTGATGTTTTAGATTTTTCTAAACATTTAGATAAATGTTACATTTAGGAAAAAAAAAAACCAAACCCAGGCAAAAGTCACTGACCTCTCAAAGTAAAACATATTGTTAAAAATACTGCAGTGTCTTTGTTAGCAAGGCAAGTGACCCAAGGCGAATTTTTTCCAAAGTCTTGGAGATCTTTGCTTATCAGTGCAGAAAGATTACCAGTGGTGGCTTTGAGCTACTGCTGACTTACTTAGTCACAATGATCTGTACTATAACTGGAGTGGAATACTACAAACCAGAGTGCAAATGCAGGACAAAAATTGTCTTCAGTCCCTTCTGCATTATTTCATTCTTCTAGAGGAGGAAGCAAGACCATTTTCAATAAGGTTCCTTAGCTTACTATGTGGTTATGATGAACAGTCATTATTAAGGACACATCCTGTCAAAGTCTAGTCCGTTAACCTCTTGTAGATGCTTACATAGTGTGGGAAAAGATTTTCTAATATTGCAAAAGGCTGCAAAAGTGAGACCGCAGCTTCCTGGTAGTTGCATTTGCTGGTTTTTGCTCAAACTGGTTTGTGTGATTCTGGAGGGTTTCTCATCTCTGTAAATCTGGGTTTCTGGGCTGAAGTAATAAAATGCACGTTCTACCCATACCAGTAAAGCATGATTTTCGTAAGACACAGGTGCTCAGTGCAAAGACTGGGACCTTGCTGCGCCAGGTGGTGTATAGACATGGAACAAAAAGAAATCCCCATTCCAATCTGTCCAGTACAGTAGCCAGAAGAAATACTGCTCATGGCTCTCACCCTGATCTAGATAGGAACTGTCATGCAGT